GATCATTGTGAAACTAGTTTCGAAACTTATCAAAACTAAACAATTTCAAAACTCCTTAGTTTTGGTGACCATCACTAATGGCCGAGTTCAATTTAACATTTTAGTTACACTTGTCAATTAATTGCATTAATATACGATGCTCGTCAACTAATTTATTTTACGAATTTACCATGCTATATTGTAACCTTCATTATAGTAAGGATCAAATCTACCATCAATAAAACTTTTCCTTACCAAGGTTGGGACCCAAGCCCTTTTGCAATATTTTTCATTAAATTGATTAATGTATTCTTTAAATTCCTTTGTTTGATCCTGCCATTCCTGCTTTCTCAGCACACCATTTAACCAATTTAATTCTTCTTTGTCAAATTTTGATTGAATTAGAAAATATATCTTTTTATCAGATACCTTTAGAATCACATTAAGCAAAAAAGAATCCATATGTGTTTTCTTTGAAAATTTTTCTTTTTCTTGAGCTTTTCTTAAAATCGTAGTTAATTTACCAGAAATTTTAATTTCAAACTAGAAGATTATGCAGGGTGAGCATATAAAGAAAGAGATTAAATATTATGATTAAAATCACCAAGTTGCAGAAGCCATTTTACATTAAAAGAAAGTCAATAATACCTCTGTAAGATTTTCCCCTACATGTTCAATAACTTCTAAACCATTCTCTCCATCTTCTTCAGAATAAGTATTTGTATCTTCAGAAATCGTCTTAGTTGTTTTTATCTGTATGAAAATATAAATGTTAAAAAAGCAAGGATTTTTTGTAAGTTGAAACATTATCTGCAGGTTACATCTGTGCTGACCTTTTTATTAATCTTCTCAGAACAAATTTCGCCACTATTCAATGTTCGCTTTTCATAATTTGAAATAAAATTTAATTTTTGTTCCTCAATTAAATCATGTGCTTTATTATTTGATATCGATCTATCAACAATGAACTGAATCTGTAAGCCATTATCAAAAACAGAATTAATAATGCACCCAACCTTGGAATTTGACATAAATAACCATTATACATACCTCAGTTTGTTTCATCTGAAATTCACCTCTTTCAATTTCTACATCTAACCAAAATCTTTTAACCTCCTCATTTTGTGTTTGATCCTTACAAAAAGATAATAACAAAAATAATTAGTAAACTTGCTCCAAAACAGTGACAGCAAAGGCAGGTCCTCGGAGACTACAAATGAAACGTGCTCTTGGTACCAAGAACATGCCCCGGTCCTTCATGCAGATTTAGGATGAAGCCCATCGGATTGCATCCGTAACTAGCCTGAGCATGCCAGGCCGCTTAGATGGTTGCTTAGACAATGAATTAAAATAAAAATATATTTCAATTGGTTAAGTCCAACTTCTTCCCTATCTCCTTGCTGCTTTGCTATCACCTCATTTTTCAATATTAACTTAAACTACACTGACTAGTATTCCATCTTTTTTGAGTTTATTTGCAGCCATAATCCATTTTTCATCTTTAGATATTTGTGCAATATATGATAGAAATTTTGAGATGAGTGCATGTTCAGCAGATTTATTGTATGTAAAATCTTGTTTGATACTACGAAATCGAAGTATTGAAATGAGTGTAAGGTTATTTTGTCTAAATAATCTTCAAATCCTTCAAATTGTAATAATATTTCTGACATTTTTGACGCTCTGTAATATTAACAATAAAATAAAAAAACGCGTATATAACTGTAATAATAAAAAAACGCGTAACAACAATAATAAAAAAACGCGGTAACAGCTTTTTTTATTGGCTGTTGTTTGTAGACAACATTCCAATTCCGGCATTATTGGTCACAATAACTCAGTGAACTCAATTTTTATTATTAAACAATACAATTGAGAGATTCTTTAATAGAGAATTGCTTTTATGTGAGCAAATAACCTTGAATGATGATTTGGACAATAATAATATTACTTCAAAGTGTTAAAAGGGAAAAAAAATAATGAATAGGAAAAAACGGAGGTTGAATGACTAATTCACACTGGCAAGAAAACCCCCAAATTAATATCCCTAATCTTTTCTTCTTTTTATATTAATATATGGTATATTCAGGAAGTAGCAGGTCCACCAGGAAACCAAATAATAACTCACACTGTTGGTGACACCAAAAAACCATTGTGTACTGATATTCTAAATTTGGTGGCTATTTTAAGAAATCACCTTAATATTGATGTGAAATATAGCAAAAACAGATTAAGATTTTCAGCACACAGGTTATAGGTAGTTCATTTGTCACATGTTCACTTTATGCAAAAGCAATAAATTATATTTTAATAACATACCTTTTTCTTTTATCATTTATTTTAGAAAATCAATCAACATTATATGCCCTTAGCATCTTGGAAGATGGTAGGTTTCTGTCTTATAAGCTGGCATCTGCAGATTTGCCATTTGATTTCAATTCACGTTCAAAGTACAAGGGAATATTATGGATGATGGCCAAGTTTCATGTAAGTGAATAATATGAGTGTTATATGTTTCAAAGTATATAATAACCTCTTTGCTATCTTTAGGATGAAATGATTCAACAAATGGCTATTTTAGACAAAATTGATCATTTACTTATTACATGTAAAGGCAAAACAGTACATGATATTTTGAGAGTGTAATTCATTCCAATATAATAAAGGACAAATGGTAGTCTTAGTGCATTATTTTTATTATTTTTTACTTAAAAAATTTTTAAACATTTGTGTCCCGTTGTTTATAGGGGTGAGATCCAAGTCTTGGCTACACAGGATGAAAGAAATGAAAATAGCAATCCATTCCAAAGAAGCAAACTTGGTAGGAAGGTTGATATGCTGGGGTTCTTATTAAACATACCAAACAAAATGGAAATAATATTTGGTGAAGTATCTTTAGGATTAGGACCATTTGGGTTGCCTGTAGCAACCAAGAAGAAGAAATATGTTGACAAGATAAAACTTTCGGTAATAATGAGAGATGCTTTAAATAAAACTTTAAAAGGATTGAATTTTGTATCTGATGAGCAAAGGAAGAAATTGGTTGTTTTTGGTTGGACGCAGATAGGTATAGGTTTTTTTTTCAATGCATTATGTAGGTTTTATTTCCAGGGTTTGTTGGTTAATTGAAATATTTCTCCTAATACAGGATTTGAAATTAATCTTTATGTAATGACGTGGTATGGTGATGGGATTTACCTTTTTGGTTTAATAGATAAGTGCATTTGACCATGCAATGAAAATGATTGCATGCTATATGAAGACATTTATTGTACTTTAAAAGAATTGGAGGTACACTATTACTTTTTATTCTATATGACAATTGATTTAATTGATTTATATGATCAATCAACTAATTTAACTTAATTTTCATAGAATAAATTATCAGAAACTGAAAGTATAGCACAAACATTGCATGTTTTGAACATCAAAGGAAAACGAAGAAATCTTGTAACT